CCGGCCACGGCCACTCTAGCCTGGCACCAGAGCGAGACTCCGTCTCAAAAAAAAAAAAAAAAAAAAAAAAAAAAAAGAGGAATAAACTGAAAGCTGTGGAAAGGCTCAAGTAAGTTTTTCCAAAGCTCTCGCGTTAGGAGGAGTTCAGCCTGGAATAAGAGCATGTGTTAGTTTTGTCATCCCATCTAACTACAGATTGAATTACCCTGATAGGTTTTTAAGCCATTCCAATGTGCATTATCTCAATAAAGCTGTTATTTAAAAAAATACTAGATTGCAGTTTTAAAATACTTAAATTTTACAGCTTCTAAAAAAGGAAAGTTATTTCCAACCAGAAAAGTGAAGTAGAAAAATGAATTCTTTGCATGGAGCATGGTGATTTATGCCTGTAATCCCAGCACTTTGGGAGGCCGAGGTGAGCAGATCACAAGGTCAGGAGGTCGAGACCATCCTGGCTAACACGGTGAACCCCTGTCTCTACTAAAAATACAAAAAAATTAGCCGGGCGTGGTGGCGGGCGCCTGTAGTCCCAGCGACTCGGGAGTCTGAGGCAGGAGAATGGCGTGAACCCGGGAGGCAGAGCTTGCAGTGAGCCGGGATCGCACCACTGCACTCCAGCCTGGGCGACAGAACAAGACTCCATCTCAAAAAAAAACAAAAAAAAAACAGAAAAGATGTAATATAGTATTTGAAACGTTGTGAAAAAATAAACATGCCGAAGCAATGGATTTGGTGTTGGGATTCCAAAGTTACCGTGTCATGAGTGGGCCTCAGAATGAGCCCCCTTAGCCCAGGTGGAAAGTCATTTCCGTGTCTCCTTCTCCCTCCAGGAAACTCCCAGTACAGCCAGCAGCAGGCTGGGTACCAGCAGGGCACCGCGCAGCAGCAGACCTACTCCCAGCAGCAGTACCCCAGCCAGCAGAGCTACCCCGGGCAGCAGCAGGGCTACGGTAAGAGGGGAGCACGTTCCTCGGGGCCCCCCAGCGCCCACCCCTGCTGCACATGGGTACGTGCATGGTGACCCTGGTGTGCAGGCAGAAGTGTGATAAACTTATTTTGGATACTTCTAGGTTTCCAGAAAAGTTGGAAACATACATGCATGTAGACCTGAAACATCTTATTTTAACTTGAACATAAATTCATTGCCCACGTGGCCTGTGACGGTTGCCAGTGTCCCGTCTGTCTGCCACCTGCACGCCTCATGCCCAGCTTCGACCTCTTTGACAGAGCAGGTCAAAGCCTGTGGGTCTCAGCCTTCACTGCAGCTTAGAATGACCCAGGAAACTTCTGACAAATAAGTTCTGGGCTGCCCCAGGTCTTTTGTTGGAGCAAAATCCCAGTTCTCAGGATGAGCTACACACACATGGTTTCTTATGAGGCTCGTGCCTGATTCTGCTGTGCTTGTTCAGCCCTTTACAGCCATTACAATAAATAGTATAAAAATCACTTGAGGAGGCTGGGCACGGTGGCTTACGCCTGTAATCCCAGCGCTTTGGGAGGCCGAGGTGGTTGGATGACCTGAGGTCAGGAGTTCAAGACCAGCCTGACCAATATGGTGAAACCTCGTCTCTACTAAAAATACAAAAATTAGCTGGGCGTGGTGGTGGGGGCCTGTAGTCCCAGCTACTCAGGAGATGAGACAGGAGAATTGCTTGAACCAGGAGGTAGAGGTCACAGTGAGCCGAGATCACACCACTGCACTTCGGCCTAGGTGACAGAGTGAGACGACTCCTCAAAAAATGAAAATAAAATATTACTTGAGGCTCAGTGTGGTGGCTCATGTCTGTAATCCCAGCACTTTGGGAGGCTGAGGCAGGAGGATTGCTTGAGCCCAGGAGTTCGAGACCAGCCTGGGTGACATAGTGAGATCATCTCTACAAAAAATACAAAAATGGCCGGGCGCGGTGGCTCAAGCCTGTAATCCCAGCACTTTGGGAGGCCGAGGTGGGTGGATCACGAGGTCAGGAGATCGAGACCATCCTGGCTAACATGGTGAAACCCCGTCTCTACTAAAAATACAAAAAACTAGCCGGGCGTGGTGGCGGGCGCCTGTAGTCCCAGCTACTCGGAGGCTGAGGCAGGAGAATGGCGTGAACCTGGGAGGCGGAGCTTGCAGTGAGCGGAGATCGCGCCACTGCACTCCAGCCTGGGTGATACAGCGCGAGACTCCGTCTCAAAAAAAAAAAACAAAAAAAACCAAAAATTAGCAGGGCATGGTGGCACACTCCTGTGGTCTCAGCTACTTGGGAGGCTGAGGCAGGAGAATTGCTTGAGCCTGGGAGGTGGAGGTTGCGGTGAGTCAAGATCACGCCACTGCACTCCAGCCTGGCCTGAGTGTGTCTTTAAAAAAAAAAAAAAAAAAAGGCCTCTATCACATCAGTTCTTTCTGGAGCCTTTGACTTAGGCTTCCTAGAGACGATGCCTCTGTCTCACCTGCCTGCAGGTTTCCAGCAGCTCCTGTGATCGTTAAGTGACAAGTTACAGCAGCCAGTGTGACTGGTGCCAGTGGGTTCTGGAGGGCTCTCCTGCCCTCAGGTAGCAGCAGCTCGGGGGAGATGGAGAGAGCCCATCAGCCCTCCCCATGCTGGTGGGGGCCTGGGGCACTGTCCTGGGACCTCACAGGACTGGAGGGGCTGGGGAGTCGGTTGTGTGGTGCTCTCGCTGTACAGAGTTAACGAGGAGCACGTGCAGGTGCCAGGCATTCTGGAGATTGACAAAAGGCTGATGCATTGAGACAGGAATTTTTTAAGGAAAAGAGGAAAAAGTTTTTAGAAAATTTTTAAGTTAAGAAAAAAAATAAAGATGCGCCCATTTTGGCCTCACAGTTCCTGGTATTTTCTCAGGGCCTGCCCAGGGAGCCCCGTCACAGTACCCCAGCTACCAGCAAGGCCAAGGCCAGCAGTACGGAAGCTACAGAGCACCGCAGACAGCGCCGTCTGCCCAGCAGCAGCGGCCCTACGGCTATGAACAGGCAAGCTTTCTGGATGTTTCCAGATGTGCCCATCCACCGCGCCTGTCGAGACATAATGAAGATTTCTCTTATGGCCATGAGGAATAATGAGCTGGAACTAACTGGCTTCCAGGGTTCCTTCCAGAATGTTAAGTCTCTGAGCCTGTAAGGTTTTTCAGAATTACCTCTGTGTATATACTCACCTCAGTCATCCAGCTGGCTTTTCATACCCTGAGCTCACCGTTAGATCTGCATGCCTGGTTCTCACATTCGTTCACTCTGCCAGTGTTTGTCGCGTACTGGGCACGTGTCCGGTCTCTGCTGGGTGCTTGGTGTGTGGCCGTGCCACGAACCCTGCGCTTTCAGAGCTTATTATCTCGCTACGGAGACATAAGGTTGTTCCACAGGCCAGACAGTGCTGAGATCAGAGCGGGGGGCCCCGAGTGGAGCCCGCCTTCCAGGTGGGGGCACAGGCGGCTGCATTTGGCCCCTGTGGACAATTCCAGGACAAAGACACAGCGGGGAGTGGCAGCCCCAGGCTCAGCCCAGGGAGGGGTAGCCCTTTCTGCCCAGGAACAGCGAGCAGGGCTTTGAAGGAGCTGAGGAAAGAGCAGCTTGGAAGATGGAAGAGCGGGAGCTCTTGGGACAGTGAGGAGGCCGGCTTGGCGGGAGGTGACAGGGACAGGTGGGCGTGGGGGCCTCCATAAAGCAGGCATCGCCTTCCCTGTGAGTAGGATGGGGCCCCTGGAGGAGGACAGGGTCTGTGTGGCGGGAGCACTGCAGGAGCGAAGGCCTCCTAGAGGAGAATGAGCCAGGCACAGGAAGCGGGCGTGCCAAGGTCCTGAGGCACCGGGAGGTTTGTCCCAGTGAAGGCAGCCCGAAGGAGGCTCGGTGGCTGGAGCACGGGGCATACGAAGGAGAATGGTCTTGGACATTTTTTGGAGCCTCCTTTGAGAGAGTCCTTAGCAGGAAGTGGCTCTGTGTTGGTGACTCTGAGCTGGCCAGAGGTGTTAGGGACACTTTACACCGCCAGTGAAATTTCAAAGCACTGCGTCGATCAAGGTGGTTTTCTCAGGGAACTGGGTAGGTAAGAGGCCGAATACTATTTTTTAAATGCTTCTCGTCCTCCTCCCTCAAGAGGGCAAAGGGTCACCAGGTAGATGTAGAGAAGCCTAAAGATCATGTAACACAGGCCCCCTGCCAGGGCACAGTACTCAGAAGGTCATGCCTGGGAAGGGCACACCGATGAGGCATTTACAAAGACGTTAGGAGTGCTCCTGGTGTGCTCTCAGGACACCGTGAGGCCACTGCAGCCGACGCCAGGGGCCGCCTCTCCCCAGTGTGTGCTGGGCGCCGGTCAGCGGGGAGCAGGCCCCAGCTTGGCCCTCTAGGCTTGCACAGGAGCGTCATGCTGGGGTCTGGAAGGACAGCAGTCTGCATCCAAATTAGAATTAATGATTCTGACGAGACACTATACCTCCTTCATACAGTCCTGAAAATAACTTACTTGGATTTTGTGAAATAAGTGAATGTCCTAACTTAATTATAAGACTGAACCAGAGGACATACAACTTTATGCCTACCTATGAAAGGACCGTGACTGGTTGTGGTGGCCCATACCTGTAATTCCAGCACTTTGGGAGGCCAAGGCAGGAGGATTGCTAGAGCCCAGGAGTTTGAGACCAGCCTGGGCAACATAGCGAGACCTGTCTCTACAAAAAATAAAAAAAGTAGTCGGGCATGGTGGTGCATACCTGTAATCCCAGCTACTTGGAAAGCTGAGGCAGGAGGATCCCTTGAGCCCAAGAGGTCGAGGCTGTAGTGAGCCGTGACTGCACCATTACACTCCAGCCTGGACTATAGAGAGCAAGACTTTGTCTTAAAAAAACGAAAAAGAAAGGCCAGGTATGGTGGCTTACACCTGTAATCCCAGCACTTTGGGAAGCTGAGGCTGGTAGATCACCTGCAGTCAGGAGTTCGAGACCAGCCTGGCCAGCATGGTAAAACCCCATCTCTGCTAAAAATACAAAAATTAGCAGGGTGCCTGTAAGCCTAGCTACTCCGGAAGCTGAGGTGGGAGAATCGCTTGAACCGGGAAGGCAGAGGTGAGCTGAGATCACGCCACTGCACTCCCGCCTGGGTGACAGAGCGAGACTCCATCTCAAAACAAAGAAAAGACAAGACACAAAGCAATGGAGAAGACAGAGAATTCCACATTTAGGGGGAAATGTGTCCATCTAACTGCAGAATATTAACATAACATAGTCTTTAGTCAGAATCAAGTGTAACTGGCCATGGCGTTTTGGCACAGCACGGCCGGCGTTGGGCGTCTCCTAGGGGCCGTTGTGCACACGGTGTTATGTTTGCAGCACCCCTGGCCTCCACCCACGATGCCAGTAGCACCCCCGTTGCCCAGTCTGACAATTTAAAATGGCTCCAGACATTGCCAGATGCCCCCCAGGGCAAAATTGTCTTCATTTGAGAACCACTGGGCTACACTTAAAAATGTGCTGAGGTGGCCAGGCACAGTGGCTCACGCCTATAATCCCAGCATTTTGGGAAGCCGAGGTGGGCGGGAGCGGACGGAGACAGACGAGATCGCGCCATTGCACTCCAGCCTGGGCAACAAGAGCGAAACTCCTGTCTCAAAAAAAAAAAAAAAAACACTGAAGTGCTGAGGCGTTGGGGCTGCCCGTGGTTTTACAGGGCTCAAGGGCTGCCATGCCTTCAGCTGAGCAGCTCTGGCTTTGAGGCTTTCCATCTTACCCAATGGTGCAGGGGCAGAAAGACATCAGAACGGACTCCTGCTAACTAGGACCATCACAGGCGGCTCTGGGAATGAAAATGTGACAGGCTGTGTTCACCAGGAACGTTATGTGGACTGGATTCTTGGTCAGGCGGGAACAGCTTTCCTCCCTCCCCGACTTCCTTGCTGCAGGCACTCAGGAAATCTGATCATTAACTAGCTGGGGGCACAGGGAGACTCAGGCATGCAGTGATCGTTGTCTTCCTCTGTGGCAGTCACCCGAGCGGCTTTTACCACAGATCCGATGCTCCGCTTCGCTGCTCACGGAATTCTCTGTCTTGTGGCCTTGTGGGCATGGGCTCCCTAGTTCTCTCTTCATGCTGTTGTTTTCGTCTGTTGTTGTTGTTGTTCTTTGAGACGGAGTCTCGCTCTGTTGTCCAGGCTGGAGTGCAGTGGTGCGATCTCGCTCACTGCAGCCTCCGCCTCCCGGGTTCTAGCGACTCTCCTGCCTCAGCCTCCTGAGTAGCTGGGATTACAAGCACGTGCCACCACACCCAGCTAATTTTTGTATTTTTAGTAGAGACGGGGTTTTGCCATGTTGGCCAGGCTGGTCTCGAGTTCCTGACCTCAGGTGATCCTCCCACCTCAGCCTCCCAAAGTGCTGGGATTACAGGTATGAGCCACCATGCCTGGCCCCTTTTTTTTTTTTTTTACATTTTCTTTGAAATAGAGTCTCACTCTGTCGCCTAGGATGCAGTGTATTGGCATGATCTCAGTTCACTGCATCCTCCACCTCTCAGGCTCGAGTGATTCTCCTGCCTCAGCCTCCCAAGTAGCTGGGATTACAGGCACGTACCACTACCACCTGGCTAATTTTTTTTTGTATTTTTAGTAGAGACGGGGTTTCACTGTGTTGGCCAGGCTTGTCTTGAACTCCTGACCTCAAGTAATCCGCCCGCCTTGGCCTCCCAAAGTGCAGGGATTGCAGGCATGAGTCACTGCGCCTGGCTGAGGCTACTTTTTTCCATTTTTTGGTACAGATGGTGTCTTGCTGTGCTGCCCAGGCTGGTCTCAAACTCCTGGGCTCAAGCAGTCCTCCTACCTCAGCCTCCAAATTCAGATTTTTTTTTTTTTTTGAAAATAGTGTCTCACCCAGACTAGAGTGCGGTGGCATAATCATGGCTCACTGCAGCCTTGACCTCCTGGGCTCAAGCCATCCTCCCACCTCACCCTTCAAGTAGCTGGGACTGTTGGCACACGCCACCACACCCGGCTAAGTTTTGGATTTTTGTAGAGATGGATTCTGGCCATGTTGCCCAGGCTGGGTCTTCAGATTTTTTTATAGATTGAAACGCATTACCCTGGTCGTCCCCGCTCCCATTTTCTTACTTTAGCGGGCTGGGGGACAGATGGTGTTTGCATCAGCTCCCAGGGGGCCAACTTGGAGGAGAGCCTTCCTGCATAGCAGGCCCAGCGTAAGGCTCTGATGCCAGGCCTGGCACAGGCCCAGCCGCAGCGATGCCAATGTGTGACTGAACGAATGAACCTTTGGCCCTCTCTACGTTGTTAGCCCCAGGCTTGGCCGGTGGCTTCTGGAAAGCCGTTCGCTGCCCGCCTGAGATGTGGGCAGAGGTGGTTTGCTTGCCATTGTCCCTCCTACCCCCTGTCCTGGCTGGGGTGGACGTCTGTCTTCCTTTTACTCGTGACTATAGGGGTGTAATCTGTGTCTTGATCTCTTTTAGGGCCAGTATGGAAATTACCAGCAGTGAGGGACACACGTTCTGGCTGGAGCCCTTGTGGTAGCGTGTTCATCCAGGGGCCGGATGGGCTGGCGGCAGCTCTGGTGAACTGTGACATGTTGGTTACCCTTTCGCCCAGTGCCACGTCTGCATGTGAAGCGTGCTCATTTCATGCTGGGTATGACGCCGAGCGCGCACCCCTGGCGCAAGACTGCGCTTGGTGGTGTGATACTTTTGGTGCTGTGTATAGTATTGTATGTCGGTACATGGAGAGGTATCCTTTTTTTGTCCCCCTGCCCCCTTCTCAATGTTTCTAGCTAGCTTTGGGGGTCATTTTGTCATCAGAGCATTCTGTACCCAGGGTCGGGACAGATCTTGAGGACACCACAGTCCACCTGTTCCCGTCAGCAGACCTTAGGTCTCATTTCCCTCCCCATGCAGTGTTGTCGTGTGGGTTGTCAACTTCTCTTTAACTGGCTACACCACAGCTGGACACACATACAGCCCCTGGAGGGCAGCCTCTTCCTGTGCCTCGATGGGGTGGGTGGGAGGGCATCTTCTGTGTGTTGGGCCAGTTTCTGTTACATAACGAAAAGGATAAGCACCTCCCACGGGAGAGGCCGCAGATGGCCACCTCCAGAGCTTGCTCATTGCCTGTCTCTCGCCAATTCTGTTTATCCAAAAAAGTACATAGTTTTGAATTAAAAAGTAAACAGGGATCAATGACTGTATTCCAGATAAATATGAATCCCTAAGGGCCGTGGACAAATTGCCTAACCCAGGGCCGGCGGTATTGCTGAAGGAAAGAGGCAGCTCTCTGGGTTACTCTGGCTCTGACCCTTGTTTAGCTGATGGTCATTTCTGGGATTGGAATAGTTAATACGCCCGATTCTAAGTTGATAGGTAATTTAAAATATTCAAATCAAATTTTCCAAACAGTTGGCAAGTTGTTTATTTTATATTATTTCTTCCAGGACCTACTTGCTCAGATCTCCAAGCAAGCATTTCTTTTCTTTTAGGGATGTCTGAAAGTCACATCCACTAACATTACTGTGTTCTTTCTAATGAAAAGTAAAGGTTTTTTATAGAGAAACTTGAGTAATTTTTACATTTCTAGGACATTAAATCCCATTTAAATTCTGTGTGAACATTAAAGACAGCACACTTGCAAAAGTATGGTCAAAGGAAAAAAAAAATCCCACATTTCCATTAATAAGTAGCATGGACTTTTGATCAACCTTTACGTGGAATAATAATATTCATATTTGCCATTAATCCTTTTAAAAAAATCTTTGGATAAATGCTGATGAATTTCCAAGAACTACCAAGAAAATACAAAAGATATCCAATGCTTGATATATGAGGCCTACTAATAACGATATTTCTCTTCAATTGATGTTTTGTTTTAAAAGTTAAAATTCTTGGCCGGGCACAGTGGCTCACACCTGTAATCCCAGCACTTTGAGAGGCTGAAGCAGGCAGATCACCTGAGGTTGGGAGTTCAAGACCAGCCTGACCAACATGGAGAAACCCCGTCCCTACTAAAAATACAAAATTAGCCAGGCGTGGTGGCGCATGCCTGTAATCCCAGTTACTCGGGAACCTGAGGCAGCAGAAATGGCTTGAACCTGGGAGGCGGAGGTTGCAGTGAGCCAAGATTGCGCCATTGCACTCCAGCCTGGGCGACAAGAGTGAAACTCTGTCTCAAAAAACACACACACACACACACACAGTTAAAAGTAATTATCCAGAGTTGCTTTAGAATTTACAAGTCACTTATGTGTTTTGTCTGAATTAATCCTGACAGCCCCTATGAGGAAATCTGGAGTAACAGTTCCTATGTTAGAGATGAAGAACTGAGGCACAGACTAAAGGACTTGCCTGTGTTGAATACCAGTCCTGTTCTAGGACATTCTCCCCTCCTCTACGGGACAGATGTCACACACAAATGGGGATAGAAGTGTTTATTTTGTAGGCGTAAGGGTTTTTAAAACCCTTAACACTGGTAAGGGCTTAAAAACAAATGTATATGTTCATATTAAATTACTGAAATGAGAGTTAATTGCTAATTGACAGAAGTATTAGCAATTTCAGTTAGGGAGTCATCTCCCTTGATTTTGTTCTTTTCCTGTCGATTTTCATAGAACTAATTTGCAAACTCAATCGGGGACTAAAATTTCCCACTGAAAATGTTAAACATTTTAGATAACTGTGAAAATAGTTTATTTTTATTCCTTGCCAATCTGGGAATATGCCTTTTATGTGTGTTTGTGTGTTTTTTTAAGTGCTGTATTAATAATACTTTCTGAAAGAAAAGGACACTTATCCCAAAACTTCAATCTGAAATGTCTTACATTAAGAATATCTTGAATGTTGTGTATATATTTTAAAAAGCACTTTGCAAAATAGTTTGTACATTTATTTCCTAATTTATACATGATTTTTGGTGTTAATATATTTAATGATTAATAACAGAATATTTAATGTGTTGTCCATTTTTATGTAATATTGTGATGGAAAGTGATGCCAGCAATTCCTTCTCATTAACTTATTCTATCTTCTGTCCTATGAATGTTGAGAAAAGCTTAGGCTAACATGAATTGTTTGTGAAGTGTGGTTGATGGTGCTTTGTTTTTTTCTGACTACTTCTATGGAAGGCCAGTGGAGAAGCAAAGGAAGATGTGAAAATTGACGCTCATTCTTCTTCTTGTTCCCTGACATCCAGCAAATTGTGAATTTGAAAAATGATGACCACAATTTTCAGAAGGGCTGACAAATTCATATTGGTATGCAAAAGCTCATCACCCATTAGGGTTTGTTGTTGAATCGACAGTACTTAGCATATTAAAACAGTACATCAGAACTCATGCCAAGAGTCTTTATGAATGGGATTAAGGTGGACGAGATCTGAAAAGAAACCTTAATACACTCATATGGTTGGAGTCTTAAGTAAACCTCTGATTTTGTCAGAGTTTTTCTACGTATAGGCTTGAATAGGGGGCATCCCTTCAAAACTGTACAAAGAAGACTGTTTTCCATTTAAAAATTTTTAGCCACTTCATTTCTATTTATTGAACAGGTCAAATTTGTCTTGTTATTTGTGAGTACAGTACATTTAAAAAACATCCTTATCGGTTAATTTTTTTTTTCAGCCGGAGATTGACGTATAAATTGTTCATGCTTTTGGTGTAATCTCTTAATAAACTGGTTCTTCAAAAATCATCCTATAAAGTGGGTTTTCATGAAGTTAATGGGATTTTGGTGTGATTTGTTTTGCAAATACTTACTACCAAGACCCGGTAGATTGTCACCTTGGCTCCTGGGCAGTCCCCGTGCGTCCGCGCCGCATTCCCCGCGGCGGGAAGGCGGAGCCAGAGACAGGGCGGTGGGGACGGCGTCCTGGGGCTGCCCTGCGGTCCCCACTGCCTGCTCTGCGTTGCCCAGTAGCCTCCTCGGGCAAGGGCGGTGTCCTCATCAGACCTGGGAGGCTCCGCAAACGCCGGAGGGGTCGGAGGAGCTGGGGGTCCCTGGACACCGGGTGGAACGGGCGGGGCGGCTGTCCTTGTGTTCGGGCAGCGAGGGCGCCGGCGAAAAGCGCGGGTGCAGCTGAGCGCTCCGCAGCCTTCCCACTGTTCCTCCTGCTCCGGCTCCTAGGGACAAGGTCCCTCCTCGGTTCCGCCGGCGTATCTTCTGCACCTGCGCACTAGGCAGGGCTTGGCGCTGCCCAAGCCGAGAGGCCCCGGAAGTGGTCGGCCGCTTGCGACGCCCCGGAAGTGACGTGCTCTCCCGAGCCGGTGAGTGCGGGAGCGGGGAGCTTGGTCCCGGGGGGTGGTCGCGGCCCAGGTGCGAGGAGGGGCCTCGGCTTTGCCGCGGGGTACGGGGCCGCTGGGAGCGGGAGAGGCCCCGGCTTAGCAGCCGAGAGGCCTGGAGGGCTGCCGGGCTGCGAACCGCGGTGGGGAGCGGCGCCTTGCTCCCCAGTCCTGCCCCACTCTCTCCGCAGAGCCGCGTTTGGGGGTCGGAAGTCCTGTCAGCCACCCGCGTGCTTCTCTGTCACAGGGATGGGTGCCGCGTGTGAGTTCCGAGTCAAGTTGTTTAGGAATTTGCCTAAGTATTTGCCTAATACTTACGGCTGTAAGTATTAAACATTTTCTTCTGGAATTTTAAAGTGATTATTGGTAGTGTACAGTTGCACAAAACAACATAAATATATGCACATTTGGATGATAAAAATAAAGTTTTGTTTTGTAAACGCTCCTCAAGGAGACGCATTGCCAGATAGTTCACTGTCCGTGGGTGGCTTTTGCCCTGTGAGAGCCGGTTATCCGTTCTGTTCCCGTTTACGTTCTCGTAGCTGCAGATACCGAGGAATGGCGTTCACGCAGACCTGTGGATGGGAATCAGAGGAGTTGCTGGGCAATGTCGCTGGAGAAATACCTTTCTTTTGTAAAGGGGTGAACCCATTTGAAAAAAATAGGAAAGGATAACTCATATTGTTTTAAACGCAAGTTCGTCCTCAGGCAGTTCTGTTTTAGCAGAGAGAACGTAGCAAAACTTGAGAAAATGGATTCCTTTGAAATTATCCTGGCCTTAGTCCCTTGGGAAGTCTATGTGTACGCGAACCTCAGTGGGAAGATTCCTGCGGTAAAATGCAGGTATCAGCAACATGCCAGGGAGGCCAGAGGATACTGTGTGACTTTGGGCAAGTGACTTAACCTCTCTGAGTCTCAGCCTCCACTGCTTTAGATGGGCATAAAAAATGTAAAGTCAAGAATGAGGTTTCTGCTGAGCGCGGTGGCTCACACCTGTAATCCCAGCACTTTGGGAGGCCGAGTCGAGCCGATCATGAGGTCAGGAGTTCAAGACCAGCCTGGCCAACATGGTGAAACCCCATCTCTACTAAAAACACAAAAAAGTAGCCGGGCGTGGTGGCAGGCGCCTGTAATCCCAGCAACTTGGGAAACCGAGGCAGGAGAATCGCTTGAACCAGGGAGGTGGAGGTTGCAGTGAGCCGAGACTGCACCACCGTGCTCCAGCCCAGGCAACAGCACGAGACTCTCTCTGAAATACATTAAAAAAAAAAATTATTTTTCATGCTCACAGGAGGATTTGAGGAGGGTTTATAAAGGGACCGTTTGCAAAGAGAGTGTAGGTAAATGACGGTTGGTCCTTTATCCTGGAACTGTGTCAGTGGAGTTTCTACTCCTGGACGCCAAAGGATCAGGGAAGACAGCAGTACCAGGAGAGGGAAGAGTCACTGGGGAGGGCCTCTTGGACTGGAGGTGTAAGCCTCAATCTGAGTGGGCAAGGAGGTCCGTGTCCCAGCCTCCCGTTCCTGCCTCCGGTCTCTGGTAGAGGGCCAGGTCCCAGTAGGTTTTCCTAAGGGGCAGGCTCAGGCTCCTGACACACAGCACAGGGCAGGGTAGAAAGCTGGTCTGGAAAAGCAAGTGGAAGATAGCTCAGCATGCAGTATTACCCCTCGCAGGATATTATTGTTAGGAGTACATTTAAAAGTGGATATATTGGTCGGGCGTGGTGGCTCACACCTGTAATCCCAGCACTTTGGGAGGCCAAGGCAGGTGGATCACCTGAGGTCGGGAGTTCGAGAACAGCCTGGCCAACATGGTGAAACCCTGCCTCTATTAAAAATACAAAATGAGCTGGGTGTGGTGGTGGGTGCATGGTGGAGGATACTCGGGAGGCTGAGGCGGGTGGATCACTTGAACCCACGAGATGGAGGTTACAGTGAACCGAGATCCCACCATTGCTCTCCAACCTGGGCTACAAGAGCGAAACTCTGCCTCAAAAAAAAAAAAAATTGCCAGGCGCGGTGGCTCACGCCTGTAATCCCAGCACTTTGGGAGGCCGAGGCGGTTGATCACCTGAGGTCAGGAGTTCAAGACCAGCCTGGCCAACATGGTGAAACCCCGTCTCTACTAAAAATACAAAAATTAGCCAGGCGTAGTGGCACGTGGCTGTAATCCCACCTACTTGGGAGGTTGATGCAGGAGAATCCCTTGAACCCGGGAGGGGGAGGTTGCAGTGATCTGAGATCACACCACTGCACAAATTAGCTGGGTGTGGTGATGGGTGCCTGTAATCCCAGCTTCTTGGGAGGCTGAGGCATGAGAACTGCTTGAACCCAGGAGGCGAAGGTTGCAGTGAGGTGAGATCATGCCATTGCACTCCAACCTGGGCGACAGAGTGAGACTCCTGTCTCAAAAAAACTTTCTGTGATGAGGGCAGTGTTGTAATCTGTGCTGTCCCATATGGTACCCACTCGCGATGTGACCATGAGCACTTAGATGTTGCCTGAGGGACTGAGTTTTTACATTTTCGTTAATGTTAGCCAAACGGCCACATTTGGCCAGTGGGGACTGTACTGGACAGGTCGAGGGCAGCCTTGTTGGAAGGAAGATAAAGACACCAAAGAGCGGCGTGAAACAGTGGGATTTGTTCATCCGGCAAGGGAAAGCCACAGCACTCAGCGGACCTCCAAAGAGAAATTGAAAGGGCAAACAGGAGGAAGCAAATTAGGCAAGATTCCGAGTTCAGGTCTCTGGTTGGCTTTGCGGCCTTCTCTGCGGTTGATCTTCAGGTTCCGTGTCACCCGCGGCAGGAAGTCTGGTTTCCAGAATATCCGGGCTGGATGGTGTAACGTCCCAGCAGGCTGAGCCGTGACTGTGCTTGTGTTGATGAGCCTGAGTCATTTTTCCCCGGCCTGTTTTTATGCCCCACCCCTGACCCATCTGACAGCTCTGGGTTAAGTCTCTCCACCTGTCTGCCTCAGTTTCCGCAACTTTAAAATGAGGATGATGAAGGACTTCACAGTTTTATGAGGACTGAATGAGTTAATCCCTGAAAAAGACTTAGAACAGTATTTTGCAAGTAGTGAGGTAGAGGTCTTGAAGGTTTATTGTTAAATGATTTTCAGGTACTTTTTGTATTTGGCACTGCCATAAATGGGGTTTTTTTCTTAATTTTAATTTACAGTTGTTTGCAGCTGGTATTTAAGAATACAATTGATTTTTTTATATTAGCCTGATAACCTGCCATCTTGCTCAGTCACCTTATTGTCTTCTTGTAGACTTCCTGGGGCTTTTTTTTTTTTTTTTTTTTTGAGATGGAGTCTCACTCTGTTGCCCAGGCTGGAGTGCAGTGACATGATCTTGGCTCAGTGCAACCTCCGCCTCCCAGGTTCAAGCGATTCTCATGCCTCAGCCTACCGAGTAGCCGGGACTACAGGCGCCCGCCACCATGCCCCGCTAATTTTTATATTTTTGGTAGAGATGGGGTTTCACCATGTTGGCCAGGCTGGTCTCGAACTCCTGATCTCAAATGCTCTGCCCACCTCGGCCTCCCAAAGTGCTGGGATTACAGGCGTGAGCCACCACGCCCGGCCTTCCCTGGGATTCTCTATGGAACTCTGTCCTCTCTTCTGTAAACAGGGACAGTTTTATTTCTTCCTTTTTTCCTTTCTTTTTTTTTTCCCTTTTATTTCAGTGTGTGAAAGGACATTGTTGCATTGGAATGGTGCATGTGGAGGCCCTTTTTCTCCATCGTGGGAGGTAACCATTCATTCTTTCTTCATTAAGTGCGATTAGCTATAGGCCCCATGTAGTGCCCTTATCAGGGCGAAGATGTTCCCGTCTGTTCCCAGTTTGCTGAGATGTTTTGTTTTCCTCCTCGTGAGTGGGTGTTGAGACGGTGGTACCACCTGTTGGTACAGAGAAGTGCCTGGGCTGAGTTTCGACTGCTTGATGTGGCCTTGTGTTGAGATTACCCCTACTAGGTCTTGATGTGTGATCCTTTCTGAACTGCTGGATTCAATTGGGTGATATTTTGTTAAGAGTTATTTGCATCTATGTTCATGAGGGGTATGGTCTATAATTTTATTTTTTCATAGTGTCAGGTTTTGGTGCTAGCCTCATAGGATGAGTTGGATAGTGATCTCACTTCCTCTATTTTCCGAAAAAGTGTGTAAGGTTGGCATTGTTTCTTCCTGGAATGTTACATGGAATTTACCAGGAAAACAAGCCGGGCTCGAGTTTTCCTTTGGGGAGTGTTTTTTAATAACAAATTTAACTTCTTGAGTAGATACAGGGCTATTTTAGATTGTTTATTCTTGTGTTTCTTTAATAAGTTGCCTTGTTCAAGAAATGTGTCCATTTCATGTAAGTTGAATTTGTTACTGAATTTGCTGGCGTAAAGTAGTTCCTAGCATTCTCTTGCCCTTCTGCTTTCTGTAAGGTGTGTGCTGATAACCCGTCGAACATTCTGACAGTGGAGATTCGTGCTCTCTCGTTTTCCAGATCAGGCTAGCTAGAGGTGTGTTAGCTTGTCTCTTCAGTGAGCCTGTTTTTTCCCGTTACGTCTTACTGTTGTCTCTTTGTTTTCTTCTGCTCTGTATGATTCTCCTCCTTCTACTCCATGCTTACTTTGCTCTTTCTGGTTTCTTGATTTGAAGCCTTAGGTTACTGATTTTAGATCTTTCTGCTTTACCAAGGTAACCATTAGAACTGTAAGTTTCCTTCTAAACACTGCTTTAGCTGCATCTCTTAAATTCTGGTATTTTGTGGTGGCGGGCGCCTGCAGTCCCAGCTACTCGGGAGGCTGAGGCAGGAGAATGGCATGAACCTGGGAGGCGGAACTTGCAGTGAGCTGAGATCGCGCCACTGCACTCCAGCCTGGGTGACAGAGCGAGACTCTGTCTCAAAAAAAAAAAAAAAAAAAAATTCTGGTATTTTGCATTTTCATTATCATTCAGTTCAAAACATTTTCCAGTTTCTCTTTTGAT